CTTAGCAGTAAACGTCTGTAAACATCAGATCGTAGGTGCTCGCGCGAGCACACGCAATTGTCAGCGGTAGCTAAAACAGATCATGAGCAAATGTCGATCTTATAGAATCCAGATTTTTAAATGCGCGAGAACGCGCGTGGAAATTGCTAAACTCACGAAAGCTATTGCATGAAAACAAGTCCGGTGACCCCTTCTTTTTATTGTTCCAATATGATAATAACGTCGAAAGGAATCATCAGAAAAAAAAATAGAAAATTCTACGGAAGGAAATTTGCGATGTGTGAAAATTGCCCTTTTTGTAGATTTTCTGAAATTCCGCTCCGTAGAATTTTTTAAAAATCTTTGTGCATTTTCCTTTTCAAGTGCCAAAAGCAATCACTGAAAAAAATCAGGGGGTCACCGGGTTAGTTTTCGAATTATTTAAGCCACAAGCTAAAAAATGCGTCTGAATAAGCCTATGAAAGCGTTGCCATGGAAACTGCTAGTGACGAAATGACAGCTATTTTTGGATAATCAACGATTATATCATTCAACCCCGTAAAAGTGTTCAACTGGCCTTGGTCAGTCTTTCTGTTGTATTCTTTCAAAGTTACAAACCATCAAAAAGAAGAAAACCAGTACGAGCCACCTTAAATTAACTTTTAAGTAAAAACTGTCGAATTGTATCTCCGTAGTTTTAAAGCAAAATTTGGCTTTATTAATGAAGTAAAATTGGGATTGCACTCAAAATTCCGACAAACTATTTAATTTACAAAGCTTGCAGCAATCATTTTATAAATCATCGGTAGATATCTCTCTTACATATTGCTTACTTTGTAGTACGCACAGGGAAGAAGAAATGTTGCATTCTGATTTTCTGCCTGATCAGTAAATCGGCTTATCTTCCCCACTTATTGTCCACCTTTGTAAACTCTTCTATACAATATGGAAGAAAACTGTCAAGAGTTCCATTAATGTATATTAGAGTTAAGGAAATTCTTCCCTGTAATTTCTTGGTCATATGAATGATCCTTTGGGTATACAAATTCAATGGCGGTCACACGTATCTTTCTCCTTCTGCTGGTCTTACTCAACTCTAAAATTGATTTTCATTATTTTCACGGCTCTCACTACCACGAACGGCTCAGCAATGTTACCGAGCATCCATTTATCGACGATAAAACAAACCTAATAACAGATTCAGCTTGCTTACTCCGCTTCAATATATATGCATTGCATTATTATCATCTCCGCCATCTTGTTCATCGACCAAGGAGGAAAGCATACCTGGCCACAAAAACTGTCTATTATTCGGCCACCGCAGCTACGTTTGAACTAAATCGACTGGCTTTATGCGGAGATATTAATCCTAATCCTGGACCTTGCAATTAGCAAGGGGAAAAGCATACCTGGAGAGAGGAAAGCATACCTGGCCGCAAGAACTGTCTATTATTCTGCCACCGTAGCTACGTTTGAACTAAATCGACTGGCTTTGTGCGGAGATATTAATCCTAATCCTGGAACTTGCTTAAATAGCAATTACAGGCAGAATGTGAGTAGTTCATGGTTTATGTCCTCAGTTAACCTCTTACTTTGAAACTATCTTGCCAGCCACCCTAACTGCCCACCGAAAGAGCCACAGCTGCTCTACTACCTTGCCGCTGAGACTGACTGAAGACTGCAAAACTGAACTAGATTCAAACAACACTGTTGGAACGACACTAATTGACCTCAGCAAAGCCTTTGATCGCCTCCCTCACAATCTACTACTTGAAAAGCTTGCAGCGTACCGTGTCAGCCTAGAAAGCCTAGAGCTACTAGCAAACTATCTGAAAAACAGAACACAATGTGTTAGCCTAAATGTCATTCGTTCACGCACCGAAAAGATAAGGTCAGGTGTTCCACAAGGGTCTGTATTAGGCCCGCAGCTATTCAACATTTTTATAAACGACTTGTTCTACAACATTAAAAAAGCCAAACTATCCGCATATGCAGACGACAAACAACTTTACTGTAGTAACGCAAACGCGAGAATTGTACAGGAGATCCTAAATTCTGAACTAGCTGTGGTTTCAAGCTGGATCAAGGACAACGGCCTACTTCTAAATGCTAAGAAATGTGAATCCTTGGTCTTCACAAAATCAAACCTCCAACGTAACCAAGCAAAGAAAGACAAAACCAGCTTCATGATTGATGGAACATCTATACAACCCTCTACCACCTGCAAACTCCTGGGCGTCCTTATAGATGACCGGCTGAATTTCAACAATCACGTAGCTTCACTATGCAAGAAGATTAGCAAGCAAATTGCAATCATATGCCGGTTTAGAAAACTTCTTAGCTTTCAAACCAAGCTTACACTATATAAGGCTTACATTCTTCCTCACTTTAGCTATTGTTCCACAGTGTGGATGCACTGTGGAAAAACAACATTGGCTAAACTTGAAAAACTCAACGAGCGTGCTTTAAGATCAGTCCTTAACAACAGCACTAGTACCTATAGTACTCTACTTGAAACAGTAAATATGCCCACATTGCACAACAGAAGAGTCCAGGACATGTACATTCTTATATATAAAGTTATTCACGGGACAACATCAAATCCACTTCGTACTCTGCTGACGCTTAGAAACAACTCACACAACCTACGTGGCGAACTGATTCTTGTACAACCCAGAGTCAACACTACTAAGCATGGGCTAAATACTTTCAGGTACTTTGGTCCAAAAATCTGGAACTCTTTAAATAATGACTTAAGAACTTCACGAACACTAAAAGAGTTTGTAACACGTATCAGGAAAATTACTTTTGACGTANAGTTTTTTGAAAGAATTGAATAAAAATAGGACAATCTGTTGAAAATATCATCTACCAAAGAGTCATCCATGATGAGTGGTTGCGACTAAACAAAGCGATAATAATTCCTCATCTTCATCATTCGAATTCTCTGAGCTTTTAGTGAAGTCTGGCTCATTCGTTGTGAGACTAGTGATTGTTTACCGTCCGCCCTCCACCAATTCCTTTGTTAGCAACTTCACGTCATATTTAGAATCGATTATTTTATCTGTGAAACCAATCTTGATCGTCGGCGATTTTAATCTTCACGTCGAAGTAGACGGCGATGCAGATGCTGGCGATTTTCTGGACACTTTGGAATTCATGAGCTTAGAACAACACGTAACTGGACCAACTCATAACCTTGGTCATACCTTGGATCTGACAATCACTCGTCAATCAGACTCGATCATAAAGAACAATCCCACGATCGGTCAATTTTCCTCTGATCGCGCAGCTATTCTCTGTGAACTCAATTCCATAAACCCTGAAGCAAGTGTTAAAACTGTCACCTACACGAACTACAAGTCAGTTAATATCGAATCTTTTAAAAGTGATGTTGCTAATTGAGCACTGTGCAACGATAACATTGTCAACTTAAGCCTGGATGATATTGTTAGCTGCTCAATTCAACCCTTTCATCGCTCATTGAATCTAACGCTCCTTTGAAGAGTAAAACTGTGGTCAACAGGCCTCGTATGCCTTGTTTTAATGATTCGATCAAGGCCGCTATCAGAGAAAGGAGAAAAGCGGAGCGTAAATGGAGAGCTACAAGGGATCCAATGTATTATTCCGTCTTCAAACAGAAAAAGAACCCTGCAACACTGCTGATGAACCATGCGCGTGGTTCATACTACACCGAGTTCATCAAGAAAAATAGCGCTGACCAGGGCAGGTTGTTTAAAGCCGCTAACTCCTTATTATCAGATTCTAAGAAATTATCCTTGCCCGGCGGATCCAACGCTGAGGCGGTCGCAAACAACATTGGCAGGTTCTTCATTGACAAAGTGACAGGCATTCACTCTAAACTAGGAAGCGCTTTGAATTCCAGGTCGTTGACACAAGATATGGATAACATTCCTGCTTATAACTCACTTACCAGCTTCAAATCGCTGTCAGTGGATGATGTACGGCGCATTATTATGCGATCTTCTAAGAAGTCATGTTCACTAGATCCTGTAGCCACGTGACTGGTAGTTGAGTGGATGGATGTTCTTTTGCCTGTAATTACGTTAATTATTAATTCATCTTTGCAGTCTGGTCATTTCCCTGATTTATGGAAGGAGGCAATAGTAACACCTTTACTGTAGAAGTGTGGATCTGACCCGTCTAATTTTAAGAATCTACGCCCTGCCAGCAATTTATCCTATATTTCCAAACTCACTGAGAGCGCTGTCGCAGATCAGATTGAGTTGCACCTGGCTAAGAACAATTTGTATCCAGCATTCTAGTCTGCATATAGGAAATTTCACAGCACGGAAACCGCTTTGGTGAAAGTTCACAATGACATTCTGATTAACATGAATAAACGGCACGCGACTCTCCTCGTTCTCTTAATACTGAGTGCTGCCTTCGACACTGTAGACCCTAGTATTTTGCTAACATGTTTAAGATCAAAGCTGGAAATGGAAATGGAACTGCTCTGTCGTGGCTTCGCTATTATCTAGCCGGAAGATCACAACGAATATTTGTTCAGGGAGCTCTTTCAAATGTCTTTCATCTTCGTTACAGCGTTCCCCAGGGATCATGTCTAGGCCCCGTTTTGTTTAACATATACTCAAGCAAAATCTTCGACATTGTTGGTCGTCACCTTCCAAAACTTCATTGTTATGCAGATGACTCCCAGCTTTATTTATCGTTCAACCCAAGCTGTGCTGTT